CTCTTCTGCATAAGAGAACATAACTTGTGGAAAAGTATTGTAGAGTTAGATATTGTTTCATAACGTGTACTGATATTGCAATGCTAGAAATGGGAGGTAGGAGGAGAATCCTGCTGGAATTTGGATTAAACTGTGCGTTTTACTCCTTTACTGGCGTAATTAGAGTTGCTGTTTCCTCATGGGTGAACGCTGAAGATGAGGATTTTCTTCTTTTAAAATGCTAAACCAACTATGGATGAATCAAACTTGATAGGATTTTTTTTTTTCTGAAGTTTTCTAATCTTTGCCAGTTTTGGAAATAACTTGGAAGGGGAGAAATTTTGCCACAATACTGTAGTAGTTCTAGATAGACTTCAGTTTAGACATATCAACAATAGAAAGTTATTTCTAGATGTGAATGGTCAAAAATAGTAGTCTATATACAGCTGTCTAGTACTTTTTGAATTGTAATATGAAGATGCAGCCAAGCATCAGCATAGACAGAAAGCTTTTTGACCAATTTTAAACTGCTGTCCCAACAGCATTAGGCTATACTTTAATTTATAGCTTTTATTTTGGCTGGGTAGGGGGAGGAGAATAAAAGCAAAGAAAAAGTTGCTCAAAGATGTAACAAAGTGCAGTTGTATGCAGTTCTCTAAGGCACCATTAGAGAAGCAGAGCTCTCAATCAAATTAGGTTCTTATTTCTGAGTCTCAAGCACCTTATGCTTTTCTTTGAAAGGTTTATAAACAACTTGAAGATTCTGAAAACCTAATTTAACTTCTCTGTTCTATAAAGTAAAACTCTGGAATAATACTTACATTTGTTGCAATCTTTACATTCTCAGTGTGGAACTATAAGCAACGTTGTTTTGTAGTCTTGATTTTGTTCTCAGTGTTGCAATATCTGGGCTTCAAACAACAGATAAATGTGAATTTTGCTTCTCTTTTGTTTTTTCTGTGTTTGGGTTTTTGGGGGTTTGTTTTGGTTTTTTTAAATACCCTCCAAAACCTTGTGTTTTCAGAATTTTGAATCATCAAGCAGAGGGTGGCTTCCTGTTTTCAGTGAGGTGTTCTTTAGGGAGAGCTTTGTGAATGGAGAAAGGAATGTCTTCATAATTCCACTGTACTCATTTCAGCCTCAAGAAATACGAGTTCGGCTGAACAACAAGCTCTACAGCTTCATTGTTTTAAGAAAGTTCACTGCCACCACGATTTTTTTCTTTTTTTTTTTTTTTTTTTTCCTTTGAGGTTATGGCTCGGGTGAACTACTTCATTTGAAAGACATTGTAATTTCTAATTAATTCATGTAATGTCTTTTCGTTACCATAAACTTGGGGGGAGGGGGCATTTCTGCAATCTTGGATACCAAGTGAAATTATAGTAGAAGTTATAGTTCCTTCTTTGGTCAGTATACTTCACCTTTTCATACTATGCAGCATTTTTACCTTCTAAATCTACCAGGGAGGAGTCAGTAACTTCACTCCTGTACCAAGTACAAAAATCTACACGTGAAATCCCAGCTCTCATAAACTGGGTTTGCTGTTTGTAACGTGCCCAATACAACAAAGACCCTTGGCACTACTGTCATGATTTTCAGACACAAATAAAATGACAGTTACAAATTTGTCTCTTTCTTTTTAATAAAAAAGGGGTTTTAGCTGAGCTTCCTCAATAGGAGTGGGCATGGGAATCAATTTGTTTAGGCGAAGACCTCCAGCAAACATTAATTTGAGAGTCAACACAAGTATTTTAATACTAAGCAAGCACATAAACACTTCAGTTAAATTCTTGAGATCGGTTTTAAAAAACCTTACATTTAAATTTTAGAAAGTGAAAAATTACACATCCCAGGAACGTGTTTCAACTAAGAAAAGATGGGCTAAAACATGAGCTTTCTTCCTCCTCTTACAAAAAGGCAAGGTATAGGAGAGATTCTGTGGTTTTCTTTGTACTGAATGCAGTTGCGCTGCTGTCACACGTTGCAGAACTTTGTCGTGCCCTTGGTTTTGATAGTTCTGAATTAAGACTACAGTTTTGTATATGCAGATGTCACGTATGCACCTTAGCAATGCATTAGGGCCATTTATTTGATTTGTGAGCTGTCTATATTAAACATATTTTCTAAACGGTAATTGGAGTTTTAAGTTAGTTTACTTGTTTAATTTTAATCTAGTATATCCTGAACTTTAGCCTAGTAGATCCTGTAAACCTCGCTAACTTCACAGAAAGCTAGTAGGGAGCAGAGGAATCCTAGACGTTGGCGATAAACACACCATGTTTCTGTGTTAGTCGTGCTAGCTGCTGAGTTGTCTTTGCTTGTCAAGCCTCTTAAGTATGGAATGTTACTATCCCTTGTGATACTCTGACAACATGGCTGGAGTTAGGATCAGTGTTGATGCAAATATGTGAAACTTAAGATGGATTTATAATTTTTAACTATAAATTTAAACTCAGAGTCCTTTATATCGCTGCCTGAAAAATTTGCATTCCCTTCTGCTTCTTGGAAGTGTAAGATGCTTGCATGAGACTTTCAGGTTTTTTTCTGCTTTTTTTTTCCCT